CTGGCCTCTGTTGTGAGGGGACAGTGTGCTTGTTTCTGTCTTGGAACATGCACTTGGTCAGCTCCCAGCTGACTGACCTGAGCATCCCAGTGGGCTGTGGCCTCAGCATAGCCATGCTGCCAGGCCATGGCTCTGCTGGAGGTGGATGGCAGGGGATTAGAGCATAACACCCCTACAGGGTGGGAGCAGCAGGCCTGGCTGCTTCTCTGCCCCAGCCCTGAGTGTAGTGCCCAGACTCTTACAGGAGATGGTAGTTCTTGTTCAGGACTTGGGCCTGGAAGCCAGGGTGCACTCTCTCACCCTTTCCCCACCACACAATCTCATTCTCTCACCCACCACTGCTGGTGCAAGAGCCTGGGCCTGAGCTGCTCTGCGGATTTCCGCCAGGGCCTTCTTGGGGCTCATGAATGGGTGATTCCGAGAGTGGCACCACCCAACCATGGGGATGGGCTGTGTCTGTCCCTGCACCAGCCCCCTGCCCAGCACCCTCACTCAGTGTTCTGAGCCCACTGAGCAGGCAGGCTCCTGCCTTTCCCGGGCTGGGAGGCTCCTCACTGCCCCGTCACAGCTCCTTGGTGAGGGTCTGTGCACACTGGCCCAGCATGGCAAGGCAGGCACGTGCCATGGCCTGCATGGGGTGTGGAGTCTCCTGTAATTAGTAGGTCTGATGATACAGCATCTAACTTTTTGGCCCTTAGTCTTTTTTTCCTTTCTGAGTTATAATCCACATACCTTAAAATTGACCCTTTGAGAGTGTGTAATTCTGGGTTTTTAGGGTTCACAGATCATCCGCACATCACTGTCTAATCCCAGGACATTTCCATCTGCAAAGAGGGAAACCTCTACCTGTTAACAGTCAGTTTCAGTTCCCCCCAGACCCCGAAGGCACCAGTCTGCTGTCTATTTCTGGAGTTACCTGTTCTGCACATGGCAGATGATGGATCATGCAGCGTGTATCTGCCTGCTGCCTCCACCTGGGCTTACCCTGCGTCCAGTTCATCCATGTTACAGTGCTTCCGAGACCCTTCCTTATGACCAAATGCTGTTCCATGCTATGGATGGAGTGCGTTTTCTCTGTCCTCAGTTGAAGGATGTTTGTTGTTCCTTCTTTGACTATGACTCATGCAGCTGTGAGCAGATGTGTGCTGTGTAGTATACCTACAGGTGAACTACTGGATCCACAGGTCTCTTCCTCCTGACACCAAGTTCATGGTATTGGTATTGTTTTGTTGTTGTTGTTTTGGTTGTTTCTTTTTCTTTCTTTCTTTTTTGCCTTATAGGGGATGGAACCTGGGGCCTCCATGCTAGATAAGTACTCTTATCATTGAGCCACACCCCATACCCCAGCCCTTTTATTTTATTTTGATAAAGGATCTCACTGATCCCAAGTTGATCTTAAACTTTTGATCCTCCTGCCTCAGCCTCACTAGTAGCTGAGATTACAGGTGTGCCCAGCTACATGGTTATATTTTTCAACCCTATTTGTCCAGTTCTCCATACCAACTAGGTGTCTAGCAATTCAATTCAATTCTGATACATTCTTTCTGGAGTTGCTGTCAAATCCCACAGGTTAAAGGGCTCAGTCCCCAAGACTGCTCCCACTTCAAAGGCCAGTCCCACCTCCCAGACTTGTGACTGATAAGCTATAAGTCAGGGTCTCCCTGACCCCCTTTGAAGGCTTCTGTAATTTGCTGGAACAGAATTTTTAGAAGTGACTTACTTACTGCTACTGGTTTATTACAAAGAATACCAATCAGGAAAAGCTAGAAGAGAGATACTTGGGGGCTAGGTATGGGGCACAGACTACCATGCCTCTTCCTCATGCCACCTCCCAGCACCTGAAGAGTGTGCCAGCCTGGAAGCCCTCTGAACCCCAAGGTGTAAGGGCTTCCTGGAGATTTCATTAGGCAGGCATTGTGGACTAAGTCATTGGGCATCTGTGATCAGCTCCATCTCCAGTCCTGCCCTGCCCTGGAGATTGAGTTAGACTTCTAATCAAGGCTTGGTCTTTTTTTTTTTTTTTTTTTTTTTTCCTTAATTAGTTATACATGATGGTAGAATGCATCATCATACATAAATGGAGTATAACTTCTCATTCTTCTGATTATACATGATGTGTACATGTAATGTGGAATTATTATTTTTTTAAGAGAGAGAGAGAATTTTTTAATATTTATTTTTTTAGTTTTTGGCGGACACAACATCTTTGTTTGTGTGTGGTGCTGAGGATCAAACCCGGGCCGCACGCATGCCAGGCAAGCGCGCTACCACTTGAGCCACATCCCCAGCCCCTGTAATGTGGAATTAAACCAGTCGCAAAATCATATATGCACGTAGGGTAATAAATTTCGATTCATTCTACTAACCTTCCTACCTCCACACCCCCTCCCCTCCCTTCACTCCCCTTTGTCTAATCTAAAGTACTTCTATTCTTCCCTAGCCCCTTCCCCTTATTGTGAATTAGCATCTGCATTTCAGAGATAACATTCGGCCTTTGSTTCTTTGCAATTGACTTATTTCGCTTAGCCTGATATTCTCCAGCTCCATTCATTTACCAACAAACATGAAAATTTCATTCTTCTTAAAGGTTGGGTAATTTTCTGTTGTGTATATATACCATATTTTCTTTATCCACTCATCTGTTGTAGGGCATCTAGTTTGGTTCCATAGTTTAGGTATTGTGAGTTGAGCTGCTATAAACATTGATGTGGCTGCATCACTGTAGTATGCTGATTTTATGTCCTTCGGATATAAACCACAGAGTGGGATAGTGGTTTTATTCCAAGTTTTCTGAAGAATTTTCACACTGTTTTCCACAATAGTTGCAGTCCCCACAACAGTGTATGAGTGAACCTTTTTCCCSACATCCTCACCAAGACTTGGTCTTTGTGGCACCCAGGCTCCATCCTAAAGTTGTCCAGGAGCCCACCAAAAGTTGYCTCATCTGAGCAGAAGAAGCCATAGTTTGACCAAGATTGCGTTATTATGCATGCTTCTTGCCCCACTTCAGCTCTCCCTTAGTTTAAACCTAGAGCTTCTTGTCAGGGCCACAAAAGGCAGGGCTGTGGACCAGGGTCCCTTGCCTTCCAGTGTAGCTATACTGATTCAAATTTCTTTCCTGCCTTCACACTCGTATTTTCAGTTGGCATCTTGGTTTTCTTTCTTACCATTCTTTTTAATATTTATTTTTTAGTTTTCGCCCGGGCCCCAGTGCCAGGCGAGCATACTACTGCTTGAGCCACATCCCCAGCCCAGTTTTCTTTCTTTCTTTCTTTTCTTTTCTTTCTTTTTTTTTTTTTTTTTTT